CTTTTTTTTTTGTATTTTTGGATGAATTGGATTTTTTTGATTTTTTCTCTTTTTTTTTTTTTTTTTTTTTTGGTTGACATGTTTTTAATGATAAAAATATTTATGTACACACACACACACATAGATTTGGATCGCACAATTATTAAAATTTATTTTCATTTTTTGAAATATTTCATTTCATTGAATCGATGATGATGATGATGATGATTGAGATGAATCAAAATGTCCAGTATTTGGTTCAATTGTTAAACGAATTCTTTTAGCAAATAAATTTCTATCATTATCATAATAATGATTATTTGAACATAATTTAACATTCGATGTTGTTAATATTCGATTACCATTATTATTTTGATTAAAGCTACCATTTAATGATGATGATGATGATGATGATATTGATTTGATTGTAGTGGACATATTAGGTATCGATTCGGTGGTATTATCATTGTTCGATGTAATAATGATAGGTGTTTTGGTGACTGTATTATTGTTGTTGTTGTTGGTGGTGGTGGTGGTATTTGTGGTCATATTCGATTCAGAATTTGAATTTTTATTCTTAATAAATGTCGGTATAACAGCGGCCATAATCCGTGCTACATCTGTTTGTACATCATTAGAAAATAATCGTTTATATTGTCGTCGTTGTTGTTCAATACAATCGGTTGAACAACTTGCTGTTGTTGAATCATTATTTAATGATGATGGTGTAAAAGCACAACGTGGTAATGGTGATGACCATTCATCATTTGCATCACGTACCGATTGTATTAATGATCGTAATTCATCATGTGCCATTTTTGTTAACCATTCATAATATGGTAATTCATTTCGTAATCTTTGTATCCAAAGCCATATATTTGGATAGCTACTTAAATCAAATTCAACAGATATTTCCAATAATGTAACATTAGCCAATATTGATATATCGGCAATAGTTAAATGTTCACATGCAACATAATGTTTATTGATTAAAAATATTTCCAACAATGTTAATGCATTTGTAACGGCAATCAATTTTTCACCACGTGATGAACTATATTCACTTGGAAACTATAAATTTGGATTGACAAAATCCGAATAAGAATTTAGATTCAAAAACAAAATTTTTTGATAAACTTACCATAAATTCATAATGTACAGCCATAACAGCATGACTAAGTGTTTTGAGATCAAAATTCAATAATCGATCTACGGTTGCACGTTTTTCTGGATCACGTGGATATAATGTTGAATCTGGTGCATATTGATTACAAAGATATTGCATAATTGCTCTTGATTCCCAAAGAATATAACCATCATCATCGATTACTGGCAATGTATGGCATGGATTTATCTATAATGTAAAATGATTTATCAATTTTACAAAACAAAAACAACAACAGAAAATAAAAAATGAAATACCTGTCGAAATTTTTCGGTTCGTGTATCAATATAACAGCGCATTGCAATTTCATCCAATGGAATATTCAAATGTGTGGCAACCATTTTAACAGCACGACATGCTGATGCAGTACGTGATGTATAGAATTTTATTGGTTTTCCCGGTGGACGACGACCTGATACAGTCGAAATATTGGTCATTGTCGTTCCATTAATGTTATTGTTGTTGTTGTTGTTGTTATCGGTGGTTGAAGACATTTTCTTTTTTCCGAATTCTGATTATCATATATGTTACAAATAAGAATCAAAAGTAAGTAAAGATTTATTGTTATTTATCGTAGCTAAATTATTATTATTATTATTTGTTGCAGAATTTATTTGAACCATAAAGAACATTTATATGCCAGTGGAATGATCAACAACGATGATGATGGTATTTTGAAGTGATAATGATGATCATCAAAAAGAAGAAGAAGAAGAAGAAGAAATAAAGAAGTGAGAAAAACTAAATGAATGCTCAAATACCACACAAAACGATGATGATGATGATGAAAATAATTATTATCAACATATAAAAAAAATTGATTACTCTTATCATATCATATATATTTTGGTTGCTATTGTCGATTAATAATAATTATATCGTCTTATTATTATCATCATCATTGTATCATATCGACCAATAACAACACACCAACAATTTGTACTCGCAATATGGCAACCTCTCCCCAACAAAAATCCAATCCAACAAAGAAGAAGAAGTAACAAATTCAAGCATTTTTTTAAAAAAATATATGATTATATTATATGTGAAGATAGATAAAAAAGAATCATCATCAATAAAAAATAAAGCCATATTTTTATCAGGTTATCATTATTAATGATCATCATCATCATCATTATCATCATATCACAATCATAATCACACGCAACAACACTCAATCAACCATCAATCTGACCGTCAAAACAGTTGATTTACAATTGATTAACAATGATCATGATTGACATTAAATCCATAAAT